TTYTCYCMYWTYWYATGGGCTTTTGACCATGCATTTTGAGAGAAATATCACTCAGGGTATTGTAACCCTGTTTTTTCTTTTTGTTTTTGTTGCTATTGATGTTACAAATAACGGCATAAATAATAAATTATCCTCTAGACATACCTGTACTTGTTCTATCCTACAATATGATGGCATTATAGTAACATCAAGCGGACATTTTAAGTCTTTAGGTCATKAAAACTTTATAAACGTTCCCGAAAGTTTAAAATGCGGACGTTGTGTTTAGTAGCAGTATTTGCGATCATTAACACACCAGCAAGTCAAGGCACAGGTAAGCTAAGAACCATAGCAAAACAACCAAAAAGACGTGCCAWTTGAAGGGTTGGCAAATGCCCKGTTCTATTTGAAAAATTAAGTTATACTAAATTTAGAAGACATACTGACAGTTGTAACATCAGTAGAAAAACTAGAAACAACTAGGTACATATAGCCTTGTGTGTCATTCCACAATTTTAAAGATAAATGATTGCTATTTGATGGAAGTGTTTTTGCGACCTTTGTAGTTGCTAACAGGTGGCATRCTGTCTACATAGAGTACCGAGTACAAGCCCACAAAACAGCGCAGTGAAAGATATATTTTAAACTTAATTTTAAAATAATAGGGTCCAAAGACTACATAAATACCGGACATTCTATATTATCATTATTATTTTGTTTGGTTATACTATTAGTATTTATTACTAGTGCGAAGTGTTCCACACATTGAGTGTCTGTACTCTAAGAATTAGTTTTATCGATTTTTAAATTAATTCAAGACATTCAATAAAGTTTCATGCATTCGGCCATTCCAATATATAGACTACTTGACATTCATGTCAAATGTTATTGTAATTCACCTCATTTATCCATTCATTCTCAAACGATAACGAACTTCTCTTTGGTTTGGTTGCTCATCCATTCACAGAGTGCGGTTYCCGACCAAAGCACGCAGAGAAAGCCGGGGAAAAGAGAATCACAGGTAAAAACCTCAACACAAGCGTAATCATAAGCAGATTAAAAAGGAAAGCACAAAGGAATGAAGTAAACACAAACATGAAATATCTGATGAGGAGCTTTGAGTGTGTGTATGTGTGCTTTAGGCGAGGAAGGGAGATGGGAGTTTATGGAGGGAGGAACATACCACGCCCCTTGCACCTCTCCCAGTTTCATTGTTTCGTACCAACAATTATGCTATCAAATATATAGGTGGTCAACAAAGTGTCCCAGGAGGATGGCCCTGGATGGCTGGCATATTTGTACAACAGCAGTCCAAGTATTTCGTATGTGGAGCAACGTTAGTGTCCGATCGCTATGTTCTGTCCGCGGGACATTGCGGAGTGTCAAAACAATTTGTTGGCATGACCAGGTTGGAAGCTCCCCAAGTTTCAGTAAGTTGCAACTTGTATGCTGATATTTTCAAAACATATTGAAAATAGGTGCAGTTTGAAAACATCCGGTTACGTATGGAAGTGGTCATAACGGCTAAAGAATCAGAATGGGRTTATAGTTTGTGCTTTCAAAAAACTTGAACGTGTGGAATTCGGGCTACATGTAGACGGGCTTAGATTTTGTTCAAAATGAGTAGAAATTCCAGAAACGAAACTACTCAACTTGCTGCACAACATTGCTGTTAGTCGAGTTTAGTCGGTGTTTATCGTGCTGAGGAACGGTAACACAGGACTCGACAACAATGCTGAGGAACGAGTTGAAGTGTTTTGTACCATGTATTTGTCGGCCTCAAGTTAAATGCATTTGTGGTACCAATTTGTTCAAAGGTACGATTAGGGATGCAAAACGTCAGTGTAAAAAAGAAATCAGAACAAGAAATCCCAGCAAAACGACTTATTCTTAACCCAAAGTGGGCTTTTATCACAAAGAACACGACGGAAGGTCCTAAGATGATCACAACAAGTGATATGATGTTGATAGAATTGAAATATCCAGCCAAACTATCCAAACTGGTACAGCCAATATGCATGAGAAAGGAGCCATTTAAGCCAGGTAAAATTGTTGGTAATGATGATACCATCACACTGGAAAAAATCGCGCGCTGTTGTAAATTTTAAGGTTGTAAATTTTGATGTAAATATGATGTAAGCGTCCACAATTCTGTAAATTTGATGTAAATGATTTCCATTAAATTTACAGAATTTTGGAAACTTACAACATATTTACATCAAATTTACAACCTTTAAAGCGCGCGATTTTTTCCAGTGATCACTGGCGATGATGATAATAATGATGATAATAATGCGACAATAATGATGATGATAATGATGAGAATTTGATAATAATGATGATGATGATGATGATAATAATGATGATGATGATAATGAATGCTGTGATGAATGGCCTTCTTCCATTATAACGCCATATTGATTTGACCGCGATGTTGACAACCATATGTTGGACCAAGAATTAACAAGCGAAACTCACAAACACCGACAGGTAAAATGTGTTACGTGGCTGGCTGGGGTACGGAGAAGATCGGAGGTCCAATACTTGGTACACTTCATGAAGTCGCCATTCCAATAGTACATCGTGACAAATGCAATAAGCCCAAGTCATACGCTGGCGTAATCCCTGAAGAGCTGGTATGCGCTGGCTTTATTAAGGGTGGYAAAGACGCTTGCGAGGGAGATAGTGGTGGTAAGAACAATTGACGTTAGCATCTTCATTTGAGTAGTACTTCATTCAATCATTCATCTGTGCATCCATCTTTTAATTGACATGCTTCAATCATCGATTATTTTGTGTTTTTACAGGTCCCTTGATGTGCGAGGGTGATGATAAGAAGTGGTATATAGCAGGAGTAGCTTCGTTTGGCCATCACGGATGTGGATTGGCTCACAAATATGGCATATATGGAAGTACCAGTGCAGAGAAATCGAGAAACTGGATTCAGAACACTACAAGCGTACACTACTTCTGAATAATCAAACTTCGCGATCGGTTTCAGCACAGCTCCCCTGTCACTGAGGAAGACATCGCGCGAGTGTAAAATGGAGACAACATACTTTACAGATTGAACAGACTTTGTAAACAGTTACAATAATAACCTCGCATTTCAAATAAAATAATGTATTTACAACGTAAAATGGCATAAATACAATGTTATGTACAATTTTGTAACACATTGTGGTCAACAGCTGTTGAGGCTTAGAGCGGAGCCTAAAAACCGTGAAATAGATATCGTAGTGTCTAAAGTAGTTGCAGTCTGTGAAACACTTCAATTCAAACCAAAAATAAGGAGTACTGCTTACTGGTTGTATACCATTTCACGGGCTGAGACATTTTCACGGGTTTTTGAGCTCCACTCTCAAAATACAAGAAAATCAAAATCACTTACCAAAGACACAAACAAAAGTCATAAACTATTCCTGTAAAAATTACCATCATATAAGCAGCAACCACAACATGCATGAGATTGATATTATCGTTAAATTGTTTTTTTTTTAATCCCTTAAGATGAAGTTTCCTGTCCTTCCTGCTCTTCTGTTTCTTCTTGGACATTAATAGTAGGAAACTCGTGGGGTTCCTGTGCCAGTWCTCGGTCGTTTTGYYGCAGTTCTTGCTCGATTACGGCGAGTCTTCTGTATTTAGTGATATTTTCGAGTCTTGTTGGACCTCCGAGTTTAATRAATCGAGCTCCACTGGACACAGCCTTRAAGAAAAAAAAACGTTGAAAGGGTTTCATTATCATTTCTTWATACACTCRATTGACACCTGTCAGTCATRCAACAAACTGCAAAGACGCCACATCGAAGCTAAGACGGAAAGATAGCACTTTTATTGCTGACAGCGCATGGRAAATAAGTCAGTTTTATATGCCTACATGTAGTATTAGCCTTGTTACTTGCCTTTCCATGCTTTCCTTGGTCTTAGCTTCATGATGCAACATTTATGGCAATGTTTTTCAATTTGGTGTACATGCAATTAATGGATTACAACAAGTTGCTTGTTATCGCAATAACTTACAATGTCTGCCACAAGTGAGCATGCATCCCTTACTGCAGCCTGATTGAGAAATACCAAACCATTTTGATCTAAGATAACAATAAACCATTATCAATAATAATCAATTAAGTTCTGAGTGCCCAATTTTCATGTTTCCATAAGTTTTATTAATTTTTTTTAAATTTTTTGTTTTTGTGTTTGTTGGTTTYTTATAGTGTAGAAAGTGCAAAGCTCTTGAACTAGCCGAATGGATAAAACGTCCTGAATTAACACTCACATTATTCTATARACTAAACATGATTTATATAAACATACCTTTAATATTTACTATTTTTTCAAGGAGTTCAGTCACAGTATTTGCTTGATCCGCACTAATCATCACCCCACTTGATAACTTGTCTGTCACGCCAGTAAGTAGTAATTTAGAGTTTCGTTTRTACAAGTYATCRCCAATAATGAAGCACTTTTCACCGATTCTTTGATTTAGTTTGATCCAGCCTTCTTTGTCCTGAAATACAATGATTTAAGTGAGCTAAGTAAAGATAAATCTATTGATGATTGAAAAATGAAAGATGGATGAGTAAATGAATAAATTGATTGCAAGAAAATTAGAATAAATGAATGAATAAAATCAACTGCATGAATGAGTGAAAGATTGAAAAAATAGATGGATGAATAAATGAATGCATAAATAATTAGTTCAATGGAAGGGACAATGGAAGGAAGGAAGGATGGAAGGGAAAGGAGGRGAGGAAGGGAGGAAGGAAATGTGATCACCTGACTTCTGACRCCATCAATGATGCCRATGATGCCTGGATACCTGTCCAAGAAATCTGAGTACATGTTGATGACATCATCCAGTGTCTTAAATGCATTTAACATGATTTCATATTTTAATTTGTCCTGAAAAGAAAAAAACAAAACAAAACATAACACAAGCTAAAGATAGGAGAATAAAGAATTGTAAATGAAATTGGCCTGAAATTGACTACTAGGGAAGAAAAATGGAGGGAACTGACAAAAAAGGGGAAAAGAAGAAAAGGATGGGAGAGAAAGAGAAAAAGATTAAATGAGACAAAAAACAAAATAGTGGGAAAGTGGGAAAGAAGATGGAGTGTGATTGGGAGGGACGTTGTGAAGAAAAGTATTCAATGTTATCATCTGTTGATTGATTGATTAACTGATTGTGATTAATTAAATGATTGATTGACTGATTCATTTAACAAGAAATACCTTATCATAGATCTCAGAAGCAGCACAGTTTAACATGATGTCCACATCAGCACCAAGTGCAAAGCCACACCCATTGATGGCTTCCACCACATAGTCCAGCAACATCTCAGGCTTATCAAAGGCTGGTGAATAGGTACCATCCTCAGTTACACACTTAGCAGTCAGCTACAGAGAACAAAAACAATCAAATGTTGAGCTATTGGTTTCACAAAACTTGTCTCCATTGCAGCCTTTTTTGTTTAGGCTTCCTGTCCCTCCCAAATGAACAGCCATATAGGGAGGAGATTTGATGAAACTGGAAATTATGGCCATAAGAGAAACTAAAAAGAGCATGCAAGAATGTTTACGATATCTTAACAATAAATATAGTACCCACATTTATTTTTTGAGCCAATAATGTGCCCATTCTGTGAAATATCTCTGATAACTGCTGTAAACCCTATTGGAAAGAAAGTGGAAGGTTAAAGTAAAATAGGATGGAACCTTTTTTGTTTCATATCTGAATAGAACTTGTACATTAGTCATATCTACACTCTACATTTCATTGTTTTTATTTATTAAGAATTTAAACTGTTACAAAATATACAAGTATACTATTAAAGCTTCAACATTTTTGTCTACAAGTTCARTTCAGAGAATACAATACAATAATTCTATCAAGCAATCCACAAAATGGCTTTTCATGCCTAATTTACAAGGTTTCCAAATTTCCATAATTACAAACATTTACAATACTTATAAAAATTACAGTGATTATTATAAGAGACAATTGATCTTTGAAAATACAGTTAGCATTTTACCTTATCCATAGARACCCCTGGTTTTGGCAATACCAGAACCTCTTTGATTAGATTCTGTTTGCCTGCTGCYTGTTTGCCACTTGTTAYTAGTGTCATTGCAGGGATAGGCATAGTAAACTGACCATCCTCCTACAATTTACAATATCATGATCAAAAATTGACATGGACAACTGTTAAGGGTCAAAACTGCATCTAAAACTACACATATTACTTATATTATATTCACTGCATTTATTGAATATAAATTGAGCTTAGTGCAAATGGATTGAAGATAGACAAGTGTAGATTCGAGACAGGGATTAAGAAACAGTATAAAGAATCAAAACTGCAAAAACATATATCATTTATGGAATACCAAAGTTAGACAAGCATAGATTGTGAAAAATTATTGAAAAATCATTTATATAATAAACATCAGCTTTTTGAAATAATGTTACCTTAGCTTTAATATATTCAAATAAAGAGCATGACTTTAAGGTGGCTCCAACCATCAATGTTGCCATAGAAACACCAAGTATTGCATAATCAATATTTGCAACTTCTTCCACCATATCAGGTATTTGTGCAGCTGATTCCTTTGCTCCCTTCTTATCCAGCATTCCACTGGGCTTTTTGCCAAGTGATTTCTTGGAAATAWTGGAAAACTTTCCAGAAGCWGCATCATCAGCRGTTTTTTCWGTTTCTTCATCCTTGTTTTCTTGTACGGATATTGGCCTTGAAACTGGAGTTACTTCCTCAACAAGACTCCTGTTGGATAGTGTGAAAATTCTATATTCAACACTTTTTAAAAGAAATTTATTTATTGATTAAACATTAGCTTTGTGGAGTGTCATGTACAAAAATGAATAACTTAGAGGTAGTGAGTGTGAGTGAATATATCTGATAGCTGAGTAGTATATAAATTACCGTTACCCAATCACTGAACAAAGTTTATCATCGCCATCACCATCATTATTATTATTATCATTATCATCATTATCATCATCATTATTATTATTATCATCATCATCATCATCATCATCATCATCATCATCATTATTATTATTACTATAAAGTGTGAATATTTCAATCATAAAATACTCACATCAAAATTCTGTCGGTATTCTTCTGATCCATTGGGTCTGCACCTGTCAGTTCAGGAGCAAGCATCATTGTAATCCTGTCAATCAAATCATTGGTATCAACCTTGCATGATTTGATATCTGTTTCACTTGGTGCAGCTGAWGGYTGACTSTCAGCWGCCTGRCCCTTGGAYTGTTTACCAGGATCTGGTGACTTTGCTTTGAGTTCTGGTGTCTTGGCACGAATGGGTTCGGGGCAAACATCATATGGGACATTCACAGAGGTTATTAGCTACAAAATAATAAATCAATAATTATTAGATTAATTTTTAAAATCCAAGACATAAGTGCAACATGATAAAAAAATATTGTGAAACTGTGAAAATCTGAAAGG